GTAAAATCAACCAGTTCTGTGAGCGTCCTGATCACCAGTTTTTGAACTGTGCATCTGATAGGTTGGCTATCTCTTGGTTGCTTAGAAGTATTGGCTCTGTGGTTTTGAGCTGTTCTTGAGCCATAATGTTTTGGTCTGTTTTTGCGTGTTAGGTGTGAGGGGCGGAGCTTTAGGTGTTCACAAGGGTGGGGCGACCCAGTTGCTGGGTTGTGACGTTGTATGTGGGGGCAGGGTCAGAGAGGGGCAATGGCACTTGTTCCGCTCTGTCTTGGATTTTGGTGCTCTCTGCTGCTTCCCGCAAGCAATCCGGGCCCCCCTGGTGCTGGCTCCTGTGTGTGTGGGCCTGTGTACCTTCCAGAACCCTGTGGGTCTCTCCAACAAACTCTGTGTGAGCCTAGGAGTTTCTCCCGGCACCTCAACCTCGAAAGTTTTTCCAATTAATGCTTTTAGGCTTTAATTCCTGTTGCTGGGGTCCTAGTCTTCGTGGTCTGTCTCACTGCTCGCTCCTTCGCCTGCCTGTGAATGTGTGACTGCAGTCAGCCAGCTGCCTTGTGCCCTCACTGGGCCTGCCTGTTGCCACCGCACGCCTGGAATCTTCCAACCACCACCTGAGCTCCTGGGTGTGTCCGGCAGCTTTTTCCTGCCTGACCTGCTCTACCAGCTGCTCACTCTGCCCCTCTTACCCGTCTGGCTGAACGATTCGGACTTCTGGCTGTTGTCAGACTTCCGTACAGTTCAATTTTTTGTGTTTTGGTTGTGTTTTTGTTACTAAAACTTTTGTCTTCATACTTGGTTGTGTGAGGAGGCATAGTGTTTCCACCTACGCCTCCATCTTGGCCGAAAGTCTTGTTTATTATTTTAAAAATGAGAATAGTAATACTTGCTTTAGGCATTACTGGGAGGACTGATTACAATAAAGAATATAAAAACATAGCTAAATATTGCTTCCATTTGCTGTTGTAGCTCTTGCTGTTATTGAGGGTTATTTTGGTTTTGGTGGTGGTGGTGGAACAAATTGAAAACCAAATTTTTTCTGGCATTGGAAGACTTGTTTTTCCTGTCAAAGGGAGTGTGATAATGACAACGGAATCTTGGATGCTATGTTTATATTTTAGGTTTCAGAATCCCTGTATATTTGCTTATTATATGCGATTCTCTAACATTTAGCATCTACTTTGTTAGAGGAAATAACTGACTTAGCCTCCAAATGTTCTGAAAAATGGGAACTGAAAGCATGGCAAAGAAGCCTGCAAAGCATAAGGAGGCTGTTCATTGAGCAGGAAAAGTTTATTAATAGCCTCAAAAGTTGAAATTTCAAAAATTAAAAAAAATCTAGATATATGATTATAGATAGGCAATATGGCCTACTATAAAGCTAAGGATTTTACCATCAAATAAGGTTTATTTCTCAGCTTAAGTATGGCTGCCTCTTTCTGGTCTCTTGATGTCTTTGATTTTCTGTTTCATCACATAAAAGAAGATGGCTGACTCTTTTAGGATGGATTATGATTTTTAAGGTCCTAGCAAACAAGGTGTTTAAAACTGGCAGTTACTGTTATTTTTCTTCTTAGTCTTAGCTTTAGATTATATATGTAGATGATTTTACAAAAGAAGCCAAATATTTGTGCAGCTTACAAGAATCATGGGTTAAGCCTTTGCTTCTTCTCTCTGATTACATCCCTCCACCTTTCCTGTGTGTCTGTCCCTGCTTCAGTGTAGTCGAGTAGGTGAGGATTTCCCCAGCAGGTCATCTTCAACCTGCTCTGGGCTTGGAGAAGGAAACTTGGAAGAAACTTGTAAACAGGTAGATTTAAAACTGCTTATTTGGAAAAGATACATTGCTGTTTGCACTTTAGAATATTAATACCAATTACCCTTGTGAAGACACAGAGAAGATTTTGAAGAAACCTAAAATTAATATAATTCTGTGTGAGCCTATATGTGCTTGGCTATGTAAATGTTTGTGTTTTGGTATGTTTTTATGATTAACTCTCTTCTCCCCCCAAATAGCCATGTTGAATGCAGACCCCTACCATATTTTAATGGAGTAGTAATGGACAGATTCTAAAGAAGACATTTCTGAAGATTTTGAAATACCTTTTCAGTGATTTTCTAAAGTAATTTTAATGACAGTCTGATGTGAACAGTAAAATAGATGCTTAATAAATCAGCAAACTCCTCTTCCTCCCAAATCTTAAGTTTTCCCTCATTAATACCAGCACTATGCATTTGTCAAAGCTTCATTATCTCTTGCCCAGAAGGATTATTTTCTGCTGTAAGGTACACATCATTCAAAGCAATTGATAACACTGGAAGTTCTTTTCAAACAGTAGCAGTGGCATTTGAAGAACCTTTTGCCCTCATGCCCAAAATTCTGCTGGTAAGGGCATGAATGGGAATCACTTCTTTTTAAAGTTGTTATTTGAACTTTAAAATAAATTGCCCTAGAATTATCCATTAGAAAAAGTCAGCAGCACTCTTGAGTTTTTCGTTTGGCTGTTTTACTGCCTTTTGTGGAAGGCAAGAGTTCAAAAATGAGGCAAGAATGTAATCTACTTGATTCATTACTGAACATGAGCAGTGACCCAAAGTTTTTTTAAATGAATCTCTGCAACTCATTTCCATGTTTGAAATTATTCCTTTAATGATAGCATATTGATGGTAATAATAAATATAACCCAATTTTCTTCTTGGAGTCTAGTATTTCGACTTCTCACTCACACAGAGGGTTGCAGATAAAATATCTTAAGATGATATACTTTTATTCCTTTTAAAACTGATATAAAATGTTTTCAAAAGTAGTAAAATTAAATGACCCTTTTTATCAATTTCCGGAGCTTAAATCTCACTAGAAAAAATATTTTATTTTGAAGCCAGCTTTAAGCCAAAGGGTGACTTGAAAACTGTATAAAGTCATATGCATTTTATACTTTGGAAAATATAAAAATAAATCATATTCATTTATATGTACAAATCATACATATGTGCCATCTCTCTATCCAGTTATATTTTCAAACTTTCCTGTCTTTCGTTTTGATTTCTTATCCACATTCAACTTTCAGATTACCAAGAGGTTTGTTAGTGGATCAAAAGGTAAAGTCTGCTGCACTTTCTTTCTCCACATGACTAAATGTCATTGATGTTAGGTACCCATGAATTAGCACAATTTCTAGGTCTATCATCTTGCAGCCTTCCTGTTCGTAAAGGATCCCACTAATTTTATAATTTGCTTCATGAAAAACTTGAAGTTTGTGATAGTAGATAATCATGTCACTCTGGAAAGTAAAGATAGTGGCACATTTCAAATAAAAATAGAGTATTCATTTTATAATTTTCAGGTGTCATTTTCACTCAACCAAAAAACATGCTTGATTTGCTTCCGTGCTTCTTTCTTTCTCTTGGAAGTGCTGTGTGTGTGTGTGTGTGTGTGTGTGTGTTTTTCATGCATGCATTTTTTTCTTCTACTATCTAATAAAATGTTCTTTAAGATGCTACTCTGCATGATTTTTGAAATTTGCTCTTATACAAATATCAGTATCTTAATTAAATTAGTGGTTAAATCAATTCCTTCAAGTTATTTATTAAGAGTGATTCAATAATAAAATCTAGAAATACATATTTTAGTACAATTATGATTATGTGTTTGGCCTGTCATGAAAGCAACTGGCCTGTTGTGATTTACTTTGGGTAGAAGATTACTAATTCCTGTTTTTGGAGGTCAAGAGAAAAAAAGTAAGGTACTTTTTGTGGGTAATGAATGATTTTGATATGTTGAAAATGTTGAAAAGTAATTTTTGATTACTATGTAAGAACATCCTACTGATATTTTAAAATTTATAATCAATTTTTATTTTTGGTAAACATTTGGGTCTTTATATTTTTCTTTCTCCAGGTATAAGTAGTAATTTAGTTTTAACCTTACTTATAATTAATTTTCATATTATAAAAGCATTGAAACATTTTGTGGTGTTGATTTCCAGAGACTGTCTCGGCAGATTTTTTGTTAATATTATGTGTCATAGGGAGAAATATTCACAGTCATTACTCTAGTCCTAAAAATTGCAGTCTTGGAAAAATATTCTTATGCTTTTAGTTAAAAGATTTTTATGTGTTTTCCTTTCTTCTCACTCTTAGAAATTTGTAAGAAATGCCATTTAGTACTTACAGAAATTCTCTTTGGCATAGTTTTTCTAAATCAAAACCATTGTAACTGATTCCATAGGCATTGTGTTTAAGCTCAGAATGCCAGCTGCTACACGTGTACCATAGAAAGCACATAAGCTTGCTAGAGAAGTTCTAGTCTCATTTGGCTACTATTGCTTTAGCTAATTGCTTTTCCCCTCCTTGCTGCTATAGTGATTATAGGCAGTCCTGCAGTATGTTGTCTCAATAAAGAAAAGTAGAGCATTTTTTAAAAGGCAGAGAATAAGCTTATAATTTGTACCATGTAAGTCTGCTTTGCTTCCCAGAGACTGTCCCTTTGTGCAGCGTGTAAGTGTAAAAGTGTAGAAGTTTTTCAAATGTATTTCAACTCCCATCTTTTTCTAGTATTTCTCAATCTCTAGGAGTAAGGTTAAGGAAAAGTAGTTTCTCAAGATGACTCAGTGGCAACTTGTTGAGAACTGGAGCCCTGTCCAGTTCTGACTTATTAAACAATCTTAAACCTTTAAAATTCAATTGTTTCATTTAGGTATTTACCAGCTTCATTCCCAGTGCTAGACAACATAGGAAAAGTTATAGGAATTTATTATTAACATGTGGAAATACAAGGCCAGTGTGTTAAAATGCAACCAGGACTTGTTTTTCAGATTGAGATGAGACTATTTATCATGAGAATGTAATTTTTTTCCAGATACTTTTTATTTTTTTATGGCAAAGATGTCCTTATATTAATTATTTTATTTATACAAAAATGTTTTCTTTTAAAAACAATTTTAATGAATATTTTGACCAAGATATGTTCTTGTACATTACATAAGTTAATCATCTTCTTTTGCTAGGCAGCACAAATTGTACTAATTTCGCTGTTTGAGTTGAACACTCCTGAATTTACCATGTTACTTGGTGCCTTGCCGAAAACATTCCAGGATGGTGCCACCAAACTCCTGCATAACCATCTCAAGAATTCCAGTAACACCAGTGTGGTGAGTGGTTTTGTCATAGTCAGTGCCCTCGAGCCAGTCAGGGCCTCTGTGGACCCCTTGTCTAGAGCTGCTCTATTAGCCAGCTTTCTTGTTCTCTCCTATTAGATTGTGGGCATCTCAAGAATGGGAGACTAGGTTTGATCCTGCCATATTCCCAGTGATTGAATGAATCTGACATTTAAATATTGTTACTTTCTTAAGTTAGGTTATTCCATCAGTTAAATTATTTTTTAATTTTTTTTAAGCCTCACCTGAGGATATATTCATTGAAGTCACACAGAGAGTGAGGGAGAGAAACATGGATATGAGAAACATCTTTGTTGCCTCCCAACATGTCCCAGCTGGGGATTGAACCCACAGCCTAGGCACATGCCCTGACTAGAAATTGAGCCCACAACTTTTTGGTGTATAGGACAATGCTCCAACCAACTGAGCCAGGGCTATATTTTTATATTTAGTAATTTATTTATTGAGTTACTTATTTTTTATATTGTAGAGATGCCAGTGCTCAATTGTGTCTATTACTATAACCCAACTAACATCAGTCATTCAACATCAGCCATTCAGCTTCAGGAATGCCTGTATGAGAGTTACCCATTTTTGGTTTAGCGTGCACCTAAAATTGTCCATAATGATTCAGAAAAAAATTATCCTGATTGTACAAATTCTTCCCATTTATTTAAATGTGGGTTAAAATGCCAAGGGAGAAGTGGACTTTATTCTGTGTTTATTCTGCCTTCACCCCAGGGCTCTCCGAGCAATACAATTGGCCGGACTCCCTCCCGACATACCAGCAGCAGGACCAGCCCCCTGACCTCACCCACCAACTGTTCCCATGGGGGCCTGTCTCCAAGGTAATGCCATTTCAACAAAAGTGAAGAAACTAAAGCACCCAATGTGTCTATGTAGCTATTTTTATATTTTAGACCAAGCTTCATACCAAAAAGTGTATGGATAGCAGGATACCATGGATTCCAGTCCTCAACCAAATCTAAACTGAATAATCTTGTGCAAAGTGGTTAACTTCTACAGTAAGATGAGTGGTTTGTGCTGAGCGTTGTCTGAAATTCTTGTAGCTCTAAACCCTTTCTAGTACCTTAAAGATTTTGAAATTAAAAAGCTACATTTAATACCCTTACACATAAAAATCATCTAGAAACTTATCACCTATTCTCTAAGTGATAGGAGCACTTGAAGAAGGTATTTAATCATCTAAATAAATTCTTTAGAGTCCGTCTACACATTGTCTGGTATAGTTTTTCAACACAGTGGCCATTCTAAGCATAGTTGCTTTCATTGTGGGCTCATATTTGAAGCAGAATACTGCTCAGGAGAGGGGAGTAAGAACCTGAGAACTAAACTTGGATCAGCATTTTCAACTCACGTGAACATTAACTTACAGAGTTTGAGGCAGTGACTGAAGAAGAGAGAATGCCCTGCCTCAGGATCTTTAGTTAAAACTTCTCCATCTAGCCAGAGCCTTCAGCAGTCTCTGCATGGTGGCTTTTGTGACCCCCTGGCATGTGTTGGATTCCCTTATGGCTTTCCCTCAGAGTAGTGACTCTAGGCCAGACTTTTAAGTGAGAGCCAGTGGCTGGACCTGCAGGAGTCATACATGCTGTGCAGTCCACAAGAAGTCCAGGTCTTTGGGATCACTGACCCAGGATCAAAGGGCTATGTCTGAAGGGTTGCTGACTAAATAATCTTAAAATTATAAGACAATACTGCAAGTATGCCATTTTCCCTTTAAGGATTACCTCTTTAGTAGGCAGATAATCAAAACATAAGTTCTTTTAAATTTTTATTTTTAAGTGATAAAGAGTCCTGTACTCCTCTGTCTTTACCAATGAATTTCTCTGCAGTTCCTTAGGTTATTATATAAATATTTTGTGATATATCAAATTGGTGTTTTTGTCTTGGTAAAACAAAGTATTTTGTATACTTACAGTATCCTACTTTAATCACCCTAAGCCCCCCTGGTGTATTTAACTAGATGAGAGTATGGTGTTATTTCTCCAAATTTGGTCTGTCGTCATGATTCAGCAGGCTATTCTAATTAGATAACTGAGACCAGAAATGTATGAAATATGTCTAACTTTCCCCTGGTGTGACTGAGGCTCAGCCACAATTTTGTTTTTTTGAGGTTAACATCTGTATCTGTATCTAAAGTGTATGGTTTGTCTTAAATGACCAAGGTTTGGTGTTGACAGTAGAGTCATAGAGTTCTCTTTCTTGGGGCAGAGTTTTGTGGAAAACTTGTATTTTCTGTAAATTGTTGCTTTTGTCTAGAATTGATACTTTGTAGCATTAAGGGAAAATCTGTCCTTCAGTAACACACAGGTCATACTTCTTATCTTTTACTTTTATTATTAGGGTGGCACATTTTTTTAGGTAATAAGCAAATGGTAAAACTCAAGCATTTTATTAAATGTACTGAGTTAATTAAAAGATCATTGGGAGTTGCCAGCATAATTTATCACAGCCAGAAACAGTCCCTTTGTCCTTCCTATTTGTTCCTCCAAACCCCTCCCCTTTTTTCCCCCTAAATTCCCTTCCCTCTCCCCTCTGGTCACTGGCCCCTTGTTCTCTATTTCACTGTCTTTGTTTTTTGTTTTTTTCTGCTTACTTGTTTGTTTCGTTGTTTAGCTTCCTGTTAAAGGTGAGATCATATGGTATTTGTCTTTCAACCCCTGGCTTATTTCACTCAGCATAATGCTTTCCAGTTCCATCCATGTTGTTGCCAAGGGTAGGAGCTCCTTCTTTCGCTCTGCAGCATAGAATTCCATTGTGTATATGTACCACATTTTTTTGATCCATTCATTTACTGATGGGCACCTAGGTTGCTTCCAACTCTTGGCTATTGTAAATTGTGCTGCTATGAACATTGTGGTGCATAGGTTCTTTGATATTGATGTTTTAGGATTCTTAGGATATAATCTTAGCAGTGGAATTGCTGGGTCAAAAGGCAGGCCGATTTTTATTTTTCTGAGAAAATTCCATACTGTTTTCCATAATGGCTGTACCAGTCTTCAATCCCACCAACAGTGAACTAAGGACCCCTTTTCCCTACAACCTCTCCAACATTTGTTGTTTGTTGCTTTTTTTTGATAGCCATCCTGACCAGTGTAAGGTGGTATCTCATTGTGGTTTTAATTTGCATCTCTCTGATAGCTAACGATATTGACCATCTCTTCATGTGTCTCTGGATGTTCTGTATGTCCCCCTTGGAGAAGTGTCTGTTCAAGTCCTTTTCCCAATTTTGAATTGGGTTGGTTGTCTTTTTAGAGTGGAGTCATGTAAGTTCTTTGTATATTTTGGAGATTAAATCTTTGTCTGAGGTATCATTGGCAAATATCTTTTCCCATACAGTTGGTTTTCTTTTTAGTTTAATACTCTTTTCTTTAGCCACATAGAAGCTTTTTATTTTGATGAGATCCCATTTGTTTATTCTTTCCTTTATATCCCTTGCTCTAGGGGACATATCAGTAAAAATGTTGCTGTGTGAAATATCTGAGATTTTCTTGCCGATGTTCTCCTCTAGGACTTTAATGGTGTCACAACTTACATTTAAGTCTTTTATCCACCTTGAATTTATTTTGGTGTACGATGTAAGTCTGTGCTCAAGTTTCATTTTTTTTGCACATAGCTGTCCAGTTCTCCCAACACCATTTGTTGAAGAGGCTATCTTTACTCCATTTGATGTTACTGCCCCCTTTGTCAAATATTAATTGACTGTAGAGAGTTGGGTGTATTTCTGGGCTCTCTGTTCTGATCCATTGGTCTATGTGCCTGTTTTTATGCCAGTACCAGGCTGTTTTGATTACAGTGGCCTTGTAATACAGTTTGATATCAGGTACTGTGATCCCTCCTGCTTTGTTCTTCTTTCTCAAAAGTGCAGCTGCTGTTCGGGGTCATTTATGGTTCCATATAAATTTTCGAAGTGTTTGTTCTATGTCTGTGAAATATGCCATTGGTACTTTAATAGGTATTGAATTGAATCTGTATATTGCCTTGGGTAGTATGGACATTTTGATGATGTTAATTTTTCTAGTCCATGAACAAGGTACATGTTTCCATTCGTTTGTGTCTTCCTTGATTTCTTTCTTCAGGGCTGTGTAGTTTTCTGTATATAGGTCTTTTACCTCCTTGGTTAGGTTTATTCCCAGATATTTTATTTTTCTTTTTGCTATATCGAATGGGATTTTTTCCATGATTTCTGCTTCTGCTGATTCATTGTTGGTATACAGAAATGCCTTTGATTTCTGGATATTGACTTTGTAACACGCTGTTTTGCCAAATTCATTAATTAGTTCGAGCAGTTTTTTTGTAGAGTCTATAGGGTTTTCCATGTACACTATCATGTCATCTGCAAACAGTGACAGTTTTGTTTCCTCCTTTCCTATTTGGATGCCTTTTATTTCCTTTTCTTGCCTGATTGCTGTGGCTAAAACTTCCAATACTATATTGAATAGAAGTGGTGAGAGTGGACATCCTTGTCTTATTCCTGATCTTAGTGGAGAAGATGTTAGTTTTTGCCCATTGAGTATGATGTTGGCTATAGGTCTCTCATATACAGCTTTTATTATATTGAGGAATGCGCCCTCTATTCCCACTTTGCTGAGTGTTTTTATCATAAATGGGTGTTGTACCATATCAAAAGCTTTTTCCGCATCTATTGATATGATCATGTGGTTTTTGTCTTTGCTTTTGTTTATGTGATGTATTACATTTACTGATTTGCGAATGTTGAACCATCTTTGCATCCCTAAAATGAATCCAACTTGGTCTTGGTGTATGATCTTTCTGATATATTGTTGGATGAGATTTGCCAATATTTTGTTGAGGATTTTAGCCTCTATGTTCATCAGCAATATTGGCCTGAAGTTCTCTTTCTTTGTTGTGTCTCTATCTGGTTTTGGAATTAGGATGATGCTGGCTTCATAAAAAGAATTTGGGAGTTTTCCATCCTTCTGGATTTTTTGGAATAGTCTGTGGAGAATAGGGGTTAGCTCTTCCTTAAATGCTTTGTAGAATTCTCGTGTGAACCCATCTGGTCCAGGGCTTTTGTGTGATGGGAGTTTTTTGATTACTACTTCAATTTCTCTTGCTGTTATTGGTCTATTTAGATTTTCTGCTCTTTTTCACTGAGTTTTGGAAGATTGTATTTTTCTAAAAATGTGTCCATTTCCCCTAGGTTTTCAAATTTCTTGGCATACAGTTCTTCATAGTAATTTCTTACAATTTCTTCTATTTCTGTGGTATCAGTTGTAATCTCTCCTCTTTCATTTCTGATTGTGTTTATTTGTGTCTTCTCTCTTCTTTTCTTGATGAGCCTGCTTAAAGGCTTGTCTATTTTGTTTATCTTCTCAAAGAACCAACTTCTGGATTCATTGATCCTTAGAATTGTGCTTTTATTTTCTATGTCATTTAATTCTGCTCTAATCTTGGTTATTTCCTTCCTTCTGCTTGCTCTTTGCTGTCTTTGTTGTTGTTCCTGGAGTTCTTGCAGGCATAGGGTTAGGTTGTTTGTTTGAAATGTTTCTGTCTTCTTTAGGTAGGCCTGTATTGCTATAAACTTCCCACTCAGGACTGCCTTGGATGTGTCCCATAAGTTTTGGGTTGTTATGAGATTATTTTCATTTGTTTCCAGAAACGTTTTGATTTCTCCCCTGATTTCATTCTTGACCCATTCATTGTTTAATAGCATACCATTCAGTCTCCATGATTTTGGGTGCTTTGGGTTTTTTCCTTTGGGGTTGGTTTCCAATTTCAGTCCCTTGTAGTCAGAGAAGATGCTTGGTATGATTTCAATTTTGTTGAACTTTTTGAGGGTCGTTTTGTGTCTTATCATGTG